AGCTGAAGTGGACTTTGAAACTAGTTGCTTACACTGCCGATATGAGTTTGTCGTACTACTTCCTGACTTTCCTGATGATCTGACAGAACTTAAATATATCCCACTAGCTGTGAGAAGCAGGGCAAGGAGATTATAGAGAAAGAGAAGATTAGCTAGTGATGAGTCAAGGTAATACTGTTGCTCAGCAAATGCAACTATTTTATGTAAAGGGGACTCTGGCGTCATTCCAAAGTGAAGACCTCCTGTCCCACCTTGGCAAAGTGGACTGTTGGCTGACCTAGACAGTGCTATCTGTAGTAACTGAAGCGCTAGCTTCTCACCATTTGTAAAGTGCTCTGAGCATCCTGAGGAAACAGGCATGTATCTATTAGGCAGTTTGTTCAAGATCAAAAAGGGAGTCCCTGGCTGTCTACTAGTTAGTGGTATTGTGCTGTATTGAGTGAAATTCAGGAGGGAGCTACCTTGCAGATATTTGTGAAAATGCTGGTGACACGTGAAGAAGCAAGTAGTGGCCACAAGCGTGTGTTTTCTGGAAAAAACAATTTTTCTCATGTCTGATGTTATTGATTGAACAGTGATGGGTTGGGAATATGTAGTAGACAGGAGTACAGTTCCCCAAAATGCTGAAATCCAATCTTGAAATGTAATACCTAAATGCTTTCAGTCCTTGTCAGAATTGAGGTTAAAGGCTGTGGCGTAATTAAAACTTCTTACTGTTTTACCTCCTGTGCTTTACTGTCCCATACCGTGGTTCTTGACTAGCTTGCTTTCTTTCAGCGGCTGACCAAGCAGGAATTCTGGCAGCTGGTGCACCAGAGCTATGGCTCTGAGCTGGGCCTGAACAGTGAGGAGATGGAGAGCTTCCACTCATCGTCTGAGGACAATGGGCAGTCTCGGTAAGGAGAGCCTATAAAGTTTATTGAAATACGCAGGGATAAGTAGTGTCCTCTTTCTTAGAAATTATTTTTCCAAAGTGCTGCTATAGCCTTACCAGAAGGGTTAAGCCTATAGTAAAAGGATACAGAGAACAGAGTGTGCATTAAAAATATAATTGTGTTCATTGCCTAAAACAGGAGGAGCACAGCTGACGCCCCTTAGAGGAGGGAGACAGGAAGACCTTGTTCTCCCAGGATCTCCTTGGGGATATCAACAGGATGGCTTAAATAGCAGCTTTTTCTCATGATGGTATCTAGTCAGGATCTGAATGCCCTTCAACAATATGGAAGGGCTGAATAGAATGGAGCTATATATGATGTTCGCACACTTTTCCTCTCCTCTATGGAGACTGAAATGCTTGCTTTGCTTTGGTATCCTGATGTCTGAGGTCTTAGCTTATTTTTGTTGTGCTCAGTTTGAATTAGGAAGCTGGGATAATCTAACTGTATGTGGATTTTTTTCAACAGTTGCCTTGATTTCTTGGAACAAATGTGAACTAACTTATGAGCTGCCAGTGTCAAATCTAGTAACAGGGCTTTAATTTTTGTATCTGCATGTAAATAAATATGGCTCTGCAAAACTGAACAATGTGATTTATGTCTCTCTTCAATCCTGTGTTATCCAAGTATGCTTGCCAGAAAAAAGTATCTGAAGTTCACTGCAAGCTTCAAAAGATGTCCCATTAAATATTTCCTGGTTTGGGTTTTTTTTCCTGTTAAAAATGCACTACTCTGCAACTCTGAGGTAAAGGATGCAGGAAAAAATTCTTGTCCCAAGCTTTCTTGAAACATTTTCTTTCTAAATCTGTTCTACCTCTGTTTCCTCTTTTCCCACACCACTGACTTTATCTCTGATTCACCATTGCTTGGTTTTACTAACCTTATGGTTAGAAGCTGAATCCTTTTGAAAGGTGGCTGGGTGAGAGAAATGGCCTGAGAGATTAATGAGCTGGACGTAGGGAAAATGAGTTGGTAGTTTTTCATACTAGCTGAACAGCCACAGTTGGAATGCAAAAATCATGTACGAGAAGCTTTCTCAGATTTTTCAGCACTTATATCTCCAAAGATATCTTCCTTTTTAATTTGGACAGATCCAGCATTTGTGATGATTCTGGAGAAAGGGATGAAAAACTACCTAAAATGATTGGTTTAGTTCGCGAACCCACGCTTCAAACAGAAGGAGAGTCACTCAACAGACACACATTGCCAGGAGTAAGTGCTGACACAGCCTTTCTTGTTATTTGTAACTGATAAGCGTATACGCTTAACTTGTATACTCTAAGCATAGGATGCACGGGGATTGTAACTTCTAAGAAGCCTGTGAAAATGCATAATAGTCTAGGAGATTTTCACATCAGAAATTTAATATGAATATCTTCAGGTGTCAAGAATGTTTATTGAATTTGGAAATGAACAAACTTCTGTATAAGAGAATATTCGTGGTGTGAGTTGCAGCAACGTTCTGTCATTAATTCACTGCATAACCTGGTTAGAATGCTGAGGCTTACATCCTGGTCTCTTTTTTGTTTGCTTTGTTTAAAAACAAAATTAACTGTATTTTATCCACCTTCCTAGGGACCATGTGTGTTTTTATGCAAGTGCTTTATGAAAGTAATGCTTTTGTGCACTTTCAATGCTTTCTTGCTTGTGCTATTTGTTGTTTAAAAAATATCTCCTCTTATACTTCTGTCTTTCCTATAAATGAGATTTATTAGAGGGTAGTTAATGCTGTGTTATCCTTGCCTTCAAAGGTCAATTAGTCTGTTGTTGTGAATATATGAAACTTTATTTAAGTTTGGGGAAATGTTTCAGAAGGAAGCGGGGGGGAAAGCACCTTTGATGTAATAAAGATGAGTTTTCCCTTAATGCCTTGGATTAATTGAACAAGCATGGGTGCTTCACTCATGGTGATGTGTGAATTTGTGAATGTATTTGGTTGGGAGGGCAAGCGTGTTATTAGTGGTATCTGAGGTGCATGCACAGTGTCTCACACATTTGCTGGGACTCCTGTGTGTAGTTGTAGTCCTAAAAGGTTACATTTTCTCTTGGCTCATAGATACCCCCAAGGGAAAGACTTTAGAAAAGCAAATAAAGCTGTAAAGCATTTCTTATAAACTTCACTAGGGTTGGGTACTTAATTGCTGTTTCTGCTTTGGAAAATTTGAGGAGGGAAGAAAGGAGATGCTTGTGATAGGTTTTTACTACGATATAAATATTCTGGCTTTTGTCACTTCCTAAAACTGATCAGGAGGTTGAGCAGGCTTAAATGGTTTGCCAAAATCCAAGTTAATGGCTGGAGACTTATACCCAGCAAACAATATTGGTTCATCAGATGTTAAAAGCTTAGTTAATCAGATGATGGGTATCCCTCATGGAAATACTAGCAGTATAAAACAAGATTTCTGGAGAGCTGTAAGGGAGGCCTGTGGATACTGCTGGAATATGGGCTCTTTAGGATACTACCCAAGTAGCCTTGGACTTGTAAGTCTTATTTGCACAAGAACAAGCCATTTAAAAATAATTGCTCTGCCTGGAAAAGTGTTTTGTTTGCCTACTGGGTGCCACACCCAAAGATGTCTCTTGCAGCTGCTAAATCTAATAGGGCATGTTGGTAAGCAGCACTGCCTAGGGATTTGGTCTATATGGAAGAAAAAATGCTAGGATTCTCCCTTGAATAAACTGCTTTTTAAAAGTCCTTTTAATTATAGTGCAAAAGTGCAATCTTGATAAATGCATAGCTGAATTGTTTAGTTTACTGTTTCAGTGTAACTAAAATACATAAAGATTGTGTTCAGCTATACATGTCACTTGGCACTTCTCAAGAATGTCGACACGCTCTCCACAACCCCAGGATTACAGCATATGTTGTAGAAGCACAGGGGCAATAGGAGGAGATAGTAGTGCTTAAAAGGTATTTATCAAAAACCATGGCATTGATGGCACAAAACACGTTTAACCCCTTCTTTCCTGCCTCTGATAGGCAAAGTAAGTCCCAGAGCTCTTTTCAGAGGGACGTCTGTAGTGATGGAGGTGTTGGCTATGTAGTACTTGGTTTGTCTTGGAAAAAAATATTGACAATAGTTGTCCATAGTTGATTAAAGAAAGTCTGCATGCAACACCATTCATGGCATGCCTGCTTCTCTTAAGTGCCATTCATCACAATGTGGGAACCACCTTATTGCCTGTCTGAATCAACCATCTTTGTCCCTCCAGCACTCATAGGGAGACCTTAGAGCCTTTTAGTCCCAGAGCCTGCTATTCATGGTTAAAAAAAAGAAATCTGAAAAGCCTTGGCACAGAGCTCAGGTGATAAATACACTTAAGGAAGAAATTATACATCTTTAATTCCAGCTGACATTACTCTTTAGGGAAAAAGCATTACTCTTGGGGGAGGTTGGCAGGGAGAAACAAGAAAACCATGTTGGAGTTAATCAGTTATTCCAAAAGCTTCAGCATGCATCTCTTCCCTGACATCACAAAAGGCTTTTTTGTAGGAGCTGTTGCTCTAGGCTTCTGACTTGAGCCTGACTTTCCTGCTCTGTGCATGGCATAGTGGGGGCTGCTCTATGTTGCTGGTGGGAACTCCACCTGTTCACCAGATCCCTAATCTTTATCAGAATGCTATAAGAGTTCCTTAAATTTGTGCTGGATCTGTGTCAATTTTTAGACTGTTTAACCACAACAAGCTCCTTTCTGACTTCCATTTGCATTGGTACAGTATTTTGACATGAAAATGTTGGTTCTGTCCTAGTTCCTCACACTCAGTTGTGTGACTGAGTATAAATTCAGGCATAGTAGCTCCTTTCAACAGGAGAATTTAACTGATCTGCTTTTCTGATGCAATGTTCCCTTCTTTGACCTTGACGGAGTATTTTTGCCTGCTTATACTGCAGTCAAATTCATGCCTGTCTCTGTTTTCCAGCCACCCACCTCCTGCTAATAGCCCTCAGTTGCACAAAAAAAGTAGATGGTCTTTATTTTTAAAAAAGCCAAGAAGTACAGGAAGTACACGATGACTATTCAAGGAGCGGATGCTCTTGGTTTTTTTGAATCAATGCTGAATAATCTTTAGGGATGATGGTATTGCAGATGAATCAGAACTACTCAACTGAGGAGCCCTGATCTTATTTATTATGGTCTGTGTTGTACTGCATGTGGGGGGCTGTACTTCCTTTGATCGCAGCTCTTCCACTGGAGGCAATGGGAGCTTTGAGGAGAGGTTTAGAATGAAAGCTACGATTCGTAGCTAGTAGCTAAGCTTTTTTGGTGGTATTTTGAGATGTACAAACCTTATGCATATAGTCTCACTAGAAATTACTTCTTGAAGTGTTCAATGGAATGTAAGCTTAGCAGCCAGTTATTATAGTTTAGGGTTAAGAGCTGCATCATTGATTCAGTGACTGGCATTTTGGGGGATGTCCTGCTTATATATTGGAGATGGCAAATGATAATCCACTGCTTTGTTTCTGAGAAGTAACATTTTGTAGGTAGGATGGCTCTGCGCAGTATTTTGAAACTTAACCTTTTTTTTGTCAAAGGTTAATGGAGCCCTATAAAACAAGAACACCTTTTAAATATATAATTGGGATGATCTAATCTTCCTGAAAAAGGGAGGCTCTGCCTATTTCATTGTGCTTCCCCTCAGGATTGTTGGACCCCTTGCTCAACTGGCAGGAAAAATCTAACATGATCTATAAAAAAAAAAAAATAAATCTGTGTGAGGGTAACTTATAAATGCTAGTGTTGATGCAGGGAAGGGGACACATGCAGGTGTGTGCAAGGGGCCTGGTTGGAGAGTAAACTGTCCCTTTTGAGGCAGCTCTAGGTATGACAGTACAGATGACTTAGTCTGTCCCTTGTTACCAGGGTAAAGTGAAAGTTTGAAATAGAGGAAGGGAGGTTGGCTGGGGTAGAGGAACAAGGGAGAAACTAGTGCTTCATTGTGTGGTAATTGAGCAGATAGAACTTGTGGCTTCCTTTATGTAGCTTTCTTCCTTGAAAGTAACTTTTGGGTTTTTTTTCCTTAGTCTGTGATTACTGATGCATTTTTTTTCTCTTGATTGTCTCAGGTGGAGGAGTCCCCAAGTGAGAAGCAAATAAAGAAGAGCCCTCTTCCATCTTCTGAAAGAAAATCTGTTAAGCTAGTCAGGAGCAGGTCTCTAGAAAAGTCCTTGGACCTGAATGAGAATGAAAATCTTCCAGAGAAGAGCAGTGCCTCAGATAGTGAAGAAGGTAAATCTCTTAACAATTGGGATCTGTAAGACAACCTGACTCTGGTGTTTCATCTGTTGTGGAGCAAGTTAAAGAACTTTCTGATCTTGAGCAAACAAAAGTTTCATATTTGTTTCACAGAATTGCAGCAAAACCATCTTTGTATCTTATTTAGTTTCTGGGGAGAAAAAAAGAAAAAGTTGTTGGGGTATGTTTAGAATGAAAACAAATTTGTGGTTTTGCTTTTTCTCCTTTGGTGGGTAAAGAGCTGCTAGCAGTTTAAAAAAAAAATTCTTCACAGTGTGGTGGTGTTTGTTCGCTTTCCATGTTCTCACAGGTACTTAAAATATTTTTTTCCTTTGTTTTCACTTCTTGGGAACTGAGGGAAAACATTTCAGGCTGTTCTCCAGTTTCTGAAAGATTCCCCTGCCCTCTCCAACCCCCATTCTTTACATTTCTGCTTTCTTAAGGCATATGGGCTTCAATGTTATTGATGGAGTAAACTGAGAAACTCACTGAAAGTCCAGGCAAGACAACTTCCCAGCTTTCAGAATTTTATTGTACGTATTCTGACTCTGAAGATGAAAAAACCTTAACATGTATCTTGGAGCAGCTTATACTTTGTGTGCCAACAGAGTTAGTATCTCAATGGATCCTAATATACTATCTTCATAACTCATATCTCATTACCCAGTATAAGATGAGGAGAAACTTCGATACCACAGTAGTGTAGAAATTGTAACCTGGCTATTACATGCTTCCTTTCCTCTCCTCACTGTAGGAGAGAGAAGCATAGCTGTATGTCTCATTGTGGTTTTGGTATGAGTGTTTTTGCTATATCCTGGGGAGAGAGTAAGGCTGGAATGTGCTGTCTACCCAGGCTGGATGACAGTGAGACTTGTGCTGAGGTCTGTGGGTGCTTGTTCTGTGGTCCCACAGTAGCGTCTGAACAAGTTCTTGCTCTAACATGAGCTTTCACTTACCATGGGGAACTTCTCTGTGCCAAAGGGCTGTTCAAACAGCTCGCTGAAGTTGTGGTGGATGTTTGTGAAATATCCCAGTCTTGGACTGTGTAAATGTCTTTAAAACAAGGTGTGCACAACCATCGGTTCCAAAGCTGTATAATGGTGTGCAAATGACGGACAGAAAAGCTCAATAGTAGCAGTGTGCTCAGTAGCAGCTGAGTATTTTTCATATGCAAAGTGATAACTTATTTCATCACCTGTTGGCAGGAATAGAACAGTATAGTTAATTGAGGCCAGTTCTTAATCTGGCTGAGAAACTTTGCATCTCATCTTTTCAGAGTTGGCAGCTGAAGCTGCTTGCAGGTGTCACTGTGGTGGGATCACTGAGGTGTCTGGGAAAGCTTTCAAAGTCATGGATTGAATTGGCCACCTGCAAGTTGTGACTGTTGCCTGAGGATATGCTTTATATTCAACTAACTTTCATTTTGCTCACTCACACTGCTGCTGTGTTTGCTTTAGTTCAGATTCAACTTGATGCATGTCAGGTTGTACCATTTTTGTGAACATACCTACTTGAACAGGCTGCTGTTTATACCATACTCCTACACACTTAACAAGCTTCACAAATTGTTTACTCCATCACAGGTGTAACTCTTAAAGCAGCAGAAAGTTTTGGCCCTCAGATGTTTTAGAAACCTGGTGGGTCTTGTATCTTCTGGATTTTTTTATGCCACAGATCTCCAGTGAAACTGGTTGAAAATAGTTCTGTTGTCTTTCATGCTGCTGTTTGCCTAAACAACAGTAGTAAATACTCCCTGTCATCCCAGCATTTCTAATGTTGAGTAAACAGAGCATATTAAACTGGAGATGTCTCTTTAAGAGAACTGACTTCATGCTGCTTTTCTTACTTCTCCCTCCCTCCCCCAAGACTAGTCTCTTTTTTTTTTTTATTCAGAGCAGGATTTTCTAGTCTCACAACATTAATCTTTTCTGATTCCCTTCTTCATGCTTAGAATTCTTTTCTTCTGTTTTTCTGTCTGTTTTCTATTGCAGTTACCCCACACTCTTACAAGGTGAATTCCTTCATGCAAATGAAACTAGCTTTCCCACATGGCAAAGGTTTACCTATGCAGTTAATCTCTCTTGTGTCCCCTGGGTCATGCTCAGGCTGCCCATGGAGGGGTACTGGCAAATAAGGTGAGGGGCAAGCTCAAGACTGTTGTTCTCCAACTCCAGGTCCACCTGACACCCAAAGCTGGAATGCCAGAGCCTTAGCAACACTAGTTCCCTTGCCCCAAGCAATTCTCACATTGCTTACTGGGGGATGGGGGTATGCTTCTCAATGTGTACCACTGGCCTATTGAGCTGCATCTTGGTGCTTTTGTTCAGTTTCATAAATTGGAGTATAAATCTCGAGCTATGACAAATTTTTGGCTAAGCTAAAAATTAATATCTGCAGTCTTGATTCTGAATTTCAGAAAACAAATTCTAGTTCAAGCACAGAATATATATTTCCAAAATAGAGCCAGGAGATCTGAATTTCCTCGAATGACTCTTTTTGTATGTAGAGTTTCTATGTGCAATGACAATGTTCAGCAGCATAAAATACTTCAAAGAAGGAAGGGGGGAAGCAGGAAATTGGAAAACAGTCTTTTCTGTTAGAAAGCTTTACTGTATATGGGAACATTATAAATTCCTGATCTCCTTGCATAACTTGACACTTACTGTATTGTTTCTATTTGTATTAATAACCACCTTTAAATGTGTGGTCTGCAGGAGAGCATAACTGCTTGTACTGTAGTGCTGTGAGATGAGTACAGGGGTGGCTTGACTTGTCTTGCAGATAGGGATATATGGGGCAGAAAATGTTTGAAATACAGGGTGGCTGAAATTAGTTTAGCCCTGGTTTTTGTTTTGTTTTTTCCACCAAGATATGAAATTGTGGATATACAATGTATATAAGGAGGAGTAGCCCTGTTATCATGTTGGCATTTTAATCAAAATAACAAAAGCATGTATTCTATTGAATATATTAACTACCAATTATTTGCTTTGGGGTTTGGAGGATATATGTTTGAGTTATCTATAGGCAAAAGGCATAAGTTTGGGGCTTTTTTTTTCTTGTGAACTGGAAAAAGCTAGTCTTGTCACAGTACTTAGTGCTCTTTTAAAGTATAGGAGAGCTCTTTGATAGTGGTTGGTATTACTGATACAGTCTTTAAACAGATGGTGTCTGGAACATGTTCACTCTAGGAATTGTTTTATTGACTTGATTTCAGGTGTATCTGGTTAAAGGCTCCTACCTGTATATTCTTCGTGGAGTGTGCAATTTTTCCCCATCACCAGTGGCACAGAAATCTTCAATAATGCCAAGATTTGCATATATACTTTTTTCCTCCTGATCCTCCCCCCAACTCTGGAGTGGAAGAATCAGCTGTCTTATTTGTTTGATAGCCTCTGCTCTTATTGGTTCACCTTTCTTAACTTGCTTGTGGTGTGCGTAACAGGAATTTTAAGAACACTTTTTTCCTGCCTCCTTTACCCCCCTTCAGTTTTCTGTCTCTTGTCTTGCACTGCAGATGTTTTCAAACCTCTGCAATCACTGGTGCATAATGGTATTCTATTCAAACAATATTTCACAGCTTGCCTTGCAGTGATAAAAATGACCTTATGGAAGTGCAAGGCAATAGTGGGGGAGGGAACAGACTTGCTGCCTTCATGCTGAACCAGGTCACTTTAGGTAATACGTTTGCTTCTGGATTTTAGGGTCCCCAGGGATCCTAACCTGAAGTCAGCATAATCTCATGTTCTCTTATCAGACAGTAGCTCCAATTCATCTATAAATGTATTCAGGCTAAGAGTTAGTGGTTGATAATTGCACATTGTTGAGGAGTTAGAACAGCATTTAAAGTTTAGAAGTTAGATTGATATCTAGATACCTGCACAAAACGTTTTTTTCCATAAACAGTATTTCTAAGCCAATCCAAGGTAAAATGCTTGATGTTGCTCTAGTATTGAGATAAATGAAAGGGAGGTAGGTTTACCTGTGTGAGTTAAAATAAACGAAACAGTAGAGAAACATGCATAAACAGCATTAAAAGTTTAGGAGTTAGATTGATATCTAGATACTTGCACAAAACGTTTTTTCCATAAACAGTATTTCTAAGCCAATCCAAGGTAAAATGCTTGATGTTGCTCTAGTATTGAGATAAATGAAAGGGAGGTAGGTTTACCTGTGTGAGTTAAAATAAACTAAACAGTAGAGAAACATGCATAGTCATATCTAGCAGAGATGAGTGGTTAAAGCTTTCTATTCTGTTCAGATTGCAAGTGTGTAGTTTGCTATGCTACTGTTTCTGCTCGCTGTTTCATCTAGGATTTCTACAGATAAACTTTGAGAAGCCCAGATGGAAGTGACTTGAAGCTTGTCAAGCTCTCAGTGTATGCAGTGACTTGTTTCCACAGAAGTGGAACTCACAGCAGCATTCATACATGCACCTTCCAGACCTATCATCTGAAAGACTTCCAGGCTTTCTGGAAAACAGTTGTTTGAATCCTAGCATCTGAAGTGGCTCATGGGCTTGATGCATCAACCCAGTTTCAGCTTGGATTTTCTGAAAATACTGCTTTATGTGATAACACCATTTTAAAATTTTTTTGTTTATTTATTCCAAGATTTGAGAGGGATTGTAAATAAAAAACATATTTCTCAATAGATACTCTCATGCACTTGGCACTTCATTGATTATTCCTTATTAGACACATGACTAGATAGTGTAGGCAAATCAACTACAAGAAACTTTGTGCAGACCCATGAATGCTCTTGCTTAAGACTCAGTACAAGGAGGACAGGCTTCATGCTTGAAGAGTAAAATCTCAGTAGCAAGGTCTGCACCGTAAGGTAATTATGATATGCTTAAAGCCCGTGCATTGGTTGCTGTGGCTTACCAAATTACCTCACATCAGCAGAAACATAGAAGCTGTCCTCAGGTGTTTCAGGTGAACATAAAGTTGTGTCATTTAGCTAAGCCTCACTGGGGCAAAAGTAACTTGTATTATCTTGTATTTGCAAAGACATATACAAATAGCTATCAAAGCTTATCTGATGCGCGGTGACTTGATCATGTGTCTGCACTTTTTGGGTTTTTTTAAGTGGTAGCAGATTCCTTGGACATGTCAAGGTCCAGCTGAGTAAGACTCAACCAGATCAACTAGGTTTGAATTACCTGGTATCTGACTCCGTACGTGATGTGCAGTGGGCAAAGGGGATGTCAGCATCAATATCTGAAGCTTCCTGTTGCTGAGTGAAAGAGAGGAAGTGGGGAGTGCACTCTGAAAGGAGAGGTCTGTAATGTTGAGGTCTTGTTAGCTGAGGCCAAACTTACAGTTCACTCAGACTGCATTTTGCTGGAATTGGATTCAGCTCTGAGAGGAAATACAGTGAACGTAAGCTGAAAACCCAGGCTGAATTTTTGGCTTCCCACAGAACGTTTCAGCACAGCGGAATTTGTATTCTAGCATGTAATGACTGCATATTGGCTGGTTAAATAGACTTCTTAAAATGCATGCTTGCTTTCTGTCCTACCTCGCAATTGTATAGACGTACAATTGCATAAGCAGAACACAATGTAGGAAGGAAGTCCATCTCTTATGCGTCACAAAAATACGGCACTCACTTCACTTTTTGGGTCTTACATTGAAACCTGATTAGGTCAAAGAGAATTTTTTGGGGAGGCAGATGTATAACAAAGGCTTTTAGCAGGCTAGGAGCAGCACTAGAGCAGAAGTCTGCTCAGTTAGAATTAGATTTCGTTGGGGATTGTTGTGGTGTTTAGTTGCTGCATTTGCATTTATCAACACTGACTGCTACCAAGCAGTAATTTTTTAAGTGCTGTAACCTTAGCCTACAGGCAGCTTGTGAACTATAGCTTGATATTCAAGCTACCTTTGCTTTGGTGGCTGCCACTGACCTTTGCTAGCTCTGAGCATTCATTTGTATCAGTTGAAAGGTTAGGCATCCTGACTTCTGTCTTGCTTCCACAAGATTTGCTTTCAGGCTTTTTGTTTCATTTTAGTGATGTGTGTGGGTGGCTTTTTTGTTTGGGTGGGGGTTTTTTGTAATTACAGCTTATGCTTTAGAAACAACTCCATCCTAAGCAGATTGAGTTGGGGTTGACATAGGAAACTGCTTGCCCTCCAGGATTATAATTCTATCCCTTATCTCTTGCAAGAGTGGCTGAGACAACCACAAAGCTGAGTCATGCTAGCAACCAGCAAGAAGCAGAAATAGCAAAGATCAGTGCTGCAGCCACAGAACACCACTGGTGTTGGTGTTTTTGAGATAGGGAACAGTGATTAAGGATCTTGGTACACTTTTCAGGACTGCAAAATAGAGCAGTGTACATCTTATAAATAGGTATGGAGGGAGGAACAGTTTGAGGAACTGTTTGGGAGACTGTACCTGTCTCAGACTATGGACACTACCAGCATTACAGATGTTAAAAGCAGAAAACTAGCCACAAGTAAAAAGAAAGCTAGTATGGTTTCAGTGTCCTGCTTGCTATGCATGTGTCCTTTGTACAATAGATGCACATATCAATGAAGATTATGCTAACTTTTTGTCTTGCCCCAATGTTTCCTATAGGATTAGTAGACTACTGAAGGCAAAACTAAAGGGATGGGACCTTGTAATGTTGATTTATCAATTTCTGTTTATACAGGGAAATGGGAGGTGGGGAGCCTAGAAAATCAACTCTGGATTTTGTTCCTGAAGATGAGCTACCTACCAAATCATGTACTGATATCATTACGAGGTTTCTGAGAGTGAGAAACAAATGCTGATGCAAGCTTGGGAAGAATTTGAGCTGTAATAAAGCTTAGAATATTATAAAGTTTCTGCTCTTTTTGTAACCTTATGTCTCTGCCTTTCCTTAGCAGTGAAGGAGACGGTCTCTGAGAATGATCTCTATGGGAGACTTTTTATAAACAGAGTTTTCCACATCACTGCAGACAAGATGTTTGAAATCCTTTTCACCAATTCTCACTTCATGCAGAGGTTTCTCAATTCCAGGAGCATAGTAGGTAATAAACTCTTCTCCCTTCTGTCTGTGTTGCAAACTATCCTGAAAATTTCAACCTCTGAGAAATGTCAAATAAGCCTAAGTTGAATTTTAAGTTTCTCCTTGCTTGAATTTTGAAGCTTTAAAGCTCTGCTATGAGAGAGTATTTAAAGCTAGCCTGTTCTTTCTGTAGATCAGCCACGTTTCAGTGTAAAAACCTCATTTCAGTGTACCACAAAACTGCACCTTAATGCCTGAATTTTGGTTAGGCTGTTTGATGCATTCTGTGTGGTATTTCTTATTACATTGTGTCCCAGAAATAGTGAAATGTGTACGGCTGGCACACAGGCAGAATCACTGCATCCTCCTAAACGATACTCACAGGCTTTAATTTTCTGGATGAGTAAATTTTATTCATTGAGATAATAAGAACAGAAAATTAAGTCAAAAAGGGTAATAATTATTCAGTGTCAGCTTGGAAGGCAAAGTGGCAAAAGCTTTTGATAATGCTAAGTGAATCTATTCAACTTTAAGCATATGGGAAATGACATATTTTCACTTAATTGTGTACTCTCTCTTCTCCCCACCCTCAAGTCTTTCAGTAGACTCAGGTTCAACTTAGTGTCTCATCTTTGTTCATCAGTGAACTACAATCTTCCCTTTTCCTGCAAAAAAACCAACCATTTGGAATCAGCTTTCTGTCTCTCCCCACCACTGTTCTTAAACCATTAAGATATGAAAGGGCAGAGATAACGCCTTTTAGGTAATCTGCATGTGAGATTTTGTGTGATTTCTCATCTAGACGCTGTATCAACCCCTTGGAATAGAGATTCCAGTGGCAATCAGTTGAGGACTTTGACGTACACTGTAACGATTAACAATCCACTTTGTGGGAAGTTCACAACTGCAACTGAAAAGCAGGTACTGTGTGCATGTGTGTCTCATTGGTGCCCTTTAAAGCAAGGGAGAGGTCAACTCTATGGTCTGTCAGAGATCTGACCACAGACTAGAGTTCAGCGAGCTGAATGTGGATCTGCAGTTGAAACGCAGCATCTCTAAGGATAGCTTGCTGCCTCTCTTGCCATTAGTGAGCAAATGATGATGAAATCAGAGAGGCTTTCTACCCTTGCAGGTGGCTGTAAATTTCTCCCACAAAGTCTGTGGGGAAAAGTGTTAACATCTCTTATAAATTGAGGGGTGAAGAGATGTAGTGAAATGCTTTCAGTGTTCACTTCTGGGCTTCCCGGTATAAGAGAGAGATGGAAAGAGTCCAGCAAAGGGCTACTAACATGATTAAGAGACTAGAGCATCTCATATGAGAAACAACTGAGAGCTGGCATTGTTCCCCCTGAGCCTTCTCTTCTCAGGCTGGATCTTTCAGTATCTGAAGGGAGGGTACAAAGAAGACCGAGCCGGGCCTTTACCACTAAAGGCCACACCTTTCAGTGGTGCCCAGTGACAGGACCAGAGGTGATGGGCACAAACTGAAATACAGGTGGTTCCCTCTGAACATCAGGAAACATTTTTTTTATTGTGATGGTGATGGAGCACTGGAACAGGTTGTCCATAGAGGTTGCAGCGTCTCCTTCCTTGGAGATACTGGAAAGCCATCTGGACATGGTCCTGGGCAACCAGCTCTGGATGGCCCTCCTTGAGCAGGGTTCTTGGGCAATATGACCACCAGAAGTGCCTTCCAATCTCAACCACTCTGTAATTCTGCTTTGGGAAAGGTCTTACAGGTCAATCTCAAAGAAGAGCTGTGGTCATGAGTCTGTGGCCAGCCTTGCATCTGGTACTTGAAATGGTAGTGGGGAAGTACTGCTGCTGTCTATATTGACTCTAGCAGGAAGCATCTTCTTTCCCCACTCCATCTATGCTTGCCTTTCTTAACTGATTTTTGTTGTGGTTGTTGAGGCTTTCTCCCTACTTGGAGTTTGCTTGGAGTTAGTTGATCTAGCCTAAGGAATTCAGGTCAAAAGAAAAAAAAAAAAAAGAAAATGGGTACTATGAATATAACTTCTTATTTCTATTTTCTTTTATGGTAGATCCTGCATAAGCAGAGCCAGAAGGGTCAGTCTTATCAGGTGGATGCTGAGGTATTGACCCATGATGTTCCCTACCATGATTATTTCTACACTGTGAACAGATACTGCATCAGCCGCACATCCAATCACAAGTGTCGATTACGGTGAGCCTGAGTGGTGCACAGTGGGAGGGGAGAAGCCAAGGCATGTATGTTCCAGGTTGATGAAGTGTGCTTATCAAAAGATCTGCCAACAGCATAGAGAAAGGTCAGCTTCTCTTGAAGTTGGGATCTCTTCTGAAAAATAAGCTTGGTTTATCTCTTGTGACATGTGTGCTGTATTTGGATCTCATCAGTTCAGTGAGAAATGAACTCCTACGTTGACTTTACAAGGTACAGAACTCATCTCTAAAACAGAACTGGGTTCTGACCAGCTTTGCGTTTTTGAGTGCAGCTGTGTGAGTGGGATAAATTTGGAACTACCTGGGATGTTTTATTACCACACCTCCTAGATTTCCTTGCTAAGGGCCTGCAGATGAGGATGGTTTCACAGGAAGGTGCAGGGAAGATGGAACATACCTACTTTTGCAGGGAGGGTACTCAAGTGAATTGGACTTTGTTATTAAACTCTGTCTAGATAGGGGAGTCTTAAAAGGCACTTCCCTTTCCTCTCGCATTTGTTGAAAATGCCTGAAGTGATCAAGTTCCATGTTCAGTGCATTTGTGTGACTTTCTGACTATGTGATCCTTGGTAGTTTAGTAAGACCTCTTATCTTAAACTTCATCAGTACCCAGGAAAGGTAAGCAAGCCTGGATTTTATTCTGGCTTATCTCAGGCTATAAAAGTGCTGAACACTGCCTCTCTAATGGGAGGAGAAGACGACAGGTCCTTGAACATCTGTTCTGGAAAATTGAGTGAGTCATTCTTCCTCTGAGGGCTGTATTTTGTTTTATCTGAGACGCTTGGCAGCTCTAGGGTAAGAGCAAAAACCTAGGTGTCAATATGATGCACAGAGCATGCATGTGTAGAACAGAAGGTACATGGTGGTGTTACAGCTGGCTTTACTATACTGTGTTTAAAATGGCTCAAAAACTCTATTTGAAAGATGCTGTTTTGTTAGATGGGAAATACAGTGGGCTTACGTTGATTTGGATGATGATTTGAAAATGTTGATAAAAGTATGTTCTAGGACAGTCAGTGTTCTTGACTTAAATCAAAATTACAGGCTATCCTTTTGTCCTTTATGAAGAGCTTTGGGATTCATTCAGTGATTAGCAGTAGCCCTCTGAAGGACTCTATTCCGTTTCTATTTGGAAGCATTATTGATTAGCTTGACCTGGGGAGTACAAGGCAGGAATGTCACTTCCCCTCTGTCATGCTCACAGAAAGGCATTTTAATTTCTCTCTGCTCAGGGTAGGATCTGAGCACTTGGTGCATGAGTGGTGATAATGAATTTCACCTGCTGCCATTGCAGTCCTCATGTAATACATCATGTGTATGCATACAGAGTAAAAAGTAGGACTTTATGATCTGAAAACCTGAAGCCTATTATAAAGGTATGTTAAAATGAGAACACTTCAGAGGAGAGAAATTCTCTGCTAGTCTGAAGGAAAATACTTTAAAATGTTTCCTGTAATTCAGACATTCAGATTTCCTGAGGTTTTAGCTAGGTATGTTGTATTTTCTTCTGTCTGTCTCTTGCCTTGCATGAGTGTAAGTGCTGCCCAGGTGGAAAGCCAACGCAGTTCCAGTTGGTGTTTCAGATTATGGATGTAAGCTAGAGGCCTGCTTCTGATAAGAGATTTCTGCTATCACTGCACTGCCTAGAAGAGCAGTCTTTCACTATTGCATTCTGTTTGGTAGGGTTTCTGCAGAAGTGAAGTACAAAAAACAGCCTTGGGGCCTTGTGAAGTCTGTAATAGAGAAGAATACCTGGGGAGGAATACAGGAAAACTTCAAACAACTTGGTGAGGCATTTTCTTCTTTATGCTGGCGTAAGGAGGCTACCTTTCCTATGTATCTTCATGTCTGTCAAACTTGATTCCTTAAAGAATGGTTTGAAAAGAAGGCAACACCAAAGGAATCTCGAAGTCAGAAGTTTGTCATCAATATATCTGCCAATTCCAGGGTGTAAAGGAAAGCCTCGTAGCTTAATGCTAACAAGGAGCTCTTGTATACCTTTTCATAATTCCTTTCTGAAGGAAACATGAGGAGCAGCAGAAAAGCTGCTACTCTCAACTGCATGTGCCTGTCTATTTCCTTGATTGTGGGTATGAGGAGAAGCAGTGGCACTTGGCAGGCTCCCTGGCAGTGTCTGTTAACAGCCTGGCTGGCCACAGCTGCAGGCTCGCAGTCTAACGCAATTCCTAGTCTCAGTCTAACAGTGTCTTGGAGTGCTCTTCCAACTGCTGTCTAACATATCATCAAACAATCCTGCATAAGCTGAATGTACACCATATCTGAAAAGTGTATTAAGTGCCCTCTAGCAAATAGGACAGGTAGTACAGGTCAAGGTGTCATTTATGTCAATTAACTGCTTTAAGTTCACTTACTAGAAGGTGCACTTATTCCTTTCACTGCTACCCTCCATATTTCATAATTTAAGTCTTCAGTACTAGGCTTTTCAGCTTTCCCTTTGAAGGTTCAGTAACCTTTATTTTTCCCACTGCAGAATCGGATCTCCTAATGGAGGAATATGCAATTAATCAGTCCATAGAAGACTCTGGAAAATTAGTTGCCCTCAGACGAAGACGACGCACTTTACACCGGAGTCTGGCAGAATCACTTCCCAAACGCTCTTCCCAACACTCCTCTGGTGACATGGGAGTAGACTCCCAGGGCAGCATAATAGGTAGGAATTTTTGTATCAAGTGTTTTCCAAAAGGTGTGTTCAAGAAAGCTTAACTCTTAAAAATAGTGCAAGAGTAACACTTGCATGTGTATTACTCTCATTGTCTTTAATTGGTGTGATAGCAGATGTGATAGTATGTTTAAGCTTGCATAAAACAGATTTGGAGCATGCGTAGTCACTTTTATGATGAGTACCTCATGAAATCAAACCTAATCTCACCCTCTGTTTTTAAAACAAAGAAACCCCAACCAGAATGTAAAATGCTGCACTGTACCTGCATAGGATTGAAAATGAGATGGGATCAGAAACAAATTTAAACCTGACTTCTGCAAAGTTGCTGAAAATTACCTTATTTCTTCAAATAACTGCACACCTAAGTCATGAGTTGATTAAACTTTGTCACTTACCTCTTGGCCCTGTTATCTCAGTTTTGGGATTTTTTTATGTTAAAGAGTCTTGTTTACCATCTGCTTCACTAATTTCTGGGTCACTGAAGCATTTCTTGCAGTTCCAGTGCCCCTAGGCACAGCAGACTTGGCTACTAGCACATACAATATTAGCTATACCTACAGAGATGAGGAACATCTGTGTGCTAATGTGTACCAGAGAATGGTGGATTTTGTGATGCAAGTTGAATTGTAAACACTGAAGTAGGAGCAAGTACCCTTTCCTAAAGGGGGAGAGAACACTGAGTATGGCACTCAAACACTTGCATTGACAGCATGTGTAATGGACTCTTTACCTAACTGAGATTGCTTCCTGATGACGTAGTTTTGCTACTGCTGCTCCACCTATTCAGGTGAGTGTGTCTCTCTGTATACACTACAGCCTTCGTGTATGCTCTTTGTCCAGGGCAGGAAATGTGAATGTAAGGAACTGCTTTAGGTGAACAGATAACTATATTTAAAGATCAGCCTGCCCACAGTGGTAGGTGATTGCTGCTCAGTTTGGAGAGGACATGCACACTTTGTCTCCCTCACTAGTGTCTGGTCCCTGTTGCCTGAGGACTAGCACATGCTCTTTCAAAAGGCTGTCTTCAGGCTAATACATAAACTAAACCAGTAAGGATGGGACAAGTTACAGGAGAACTTGATTTGACACTGGTTGTCAGAAGGACTAATGTGGGCAGGGGAACAAGCAGAAGAGACGCTTTGCAGCCTGTCTCTGCTGAATGAGTGTTAGTAATGGATGGACTGTAGCCTTCTCAGGCTATCTAGGTTTAATGTGAACATGCTCCAGTACTGTATTCTCCCAAGCATACTGGCGTAGGGGGAATCCTGCCCCTGAAGAAAGAGTCTGACTGTCCAGCTGACTTGTCTGGGATATCTGCAAAAGTGCCTTGGTGAATGATGGCGATGATCCTGTGCACCCACATGATATGTTATTTTTTTCCATCAGAAGCTGTTGAGCTATTCTGTGTGAAATGCTGGGCACTGACATGTATCTGCAGGCATCCTTTAGGAATATTCTTCAGTACTTTTTAACCTCCTTCTCTTCCATGCCCTATAGGAAGGAAAAGAGATGCTGTAAGTAGGACCACCACCATCATTGTAGTAATGAGTGTCTTGTAAGTACTCACTTGCATTAAAATGTGGCTTGACTCAAGTTCATCTTGGTCTTTGTATTTGTCTGTACCTCACTTGCATGTTAGCATTGCATGTAGCATGATAGATCTTAACCTAATTTGAATGGAGCACTCAAGTATAGGAGGGGAATGGATTGACTTAAGTGGCACACCGAATGAAAAGGCTGACTTGCCAAACCAGTCTGCCTTGCAGGTTTGCTTAGATCTGATCCTATAAAAAACCCAAAGCCTGGAACTTACTCATTCCTAGCTTTAAAAGTTCCAAGAGGAGACACTGTTGTCATTCCTATGGGTTGCTATTGCACAGCTTAATGCTAACTGCTAAGAATTGTTTGGATAGATCTTTATTTTCAGTATAGTGCTGCCCCACACCTCTCTTCTCCCAGAAGGATTCTCTCTTTTCATAGCTGTTTTTAGCCTAGATCTTGTCTTTGTAGTATTGCAAGCAAAATTGTTACAGGACTTGATTTTTGCTCTTTCTACAGTTTGCTGCTCTTGGTCTTGCTGAATATAACACTGTTTCTCAAACTGTCAAAGATAGAGCATGCGGCTCAGTCCCTCTATCATGTCCAGCTTCAGGAAGAAAGCTCTTTAAAGTAAGTGGAATTCACAGTCTTTGCTTTCTTTCTTCCTCAGCTTATGTGGGAATCTGATCTAAATAAGTAAATTTTGAACAATGAAACTTGGTGGTAAGTTCTTAAAAGCTGCTGGGGCTTGCTCTTCTGTGGTCTATGCTGGTATCCAGTGACATGTCTGACTGCATCTTGCAGTAATAAATTTCTCTTTTGACAAGCTGGTTTTTGGGGGAGTGTTAACCTTAGCTTGCATTTATCAACCTGCTGTGACTCATCTGCAGTGAATATCATAGTGCCGATCACAGAACCAAAGTGTTCACTTCATCCTGTGTGAACCAGCATGATCTCAAATGTAGTGTTCAAGATCCATTTAGCTTTTTAGCCTCTTTCTGCGAGTCTCCTGCTAAATCTCCTCTCCCCCTCAAACTTCCATGTTAGGTACCTTTTGTATTCAGACATATGGAAGAGGCTCAGATGTTGCTTCCTCTCTTAAATATGGTCTCAGGAAACAAGTTAAAAATCATAACCTGATCTTGAGTATGGAAGCGGTGTGGTGACCTCCCATAGTGATCATCTCAGAACTGATGAGAGTAACTTTCTTCATAAGAAAGATCTTGCCCTCTGAAGTGAGAGAGCTTACGTTGTAGACAAAATGCAAGCACACTTGCATTTTGTGGCTGTTGTCCACAAAGGTCTGAGGCAGTATCTTCAACGCAACAGGGATTGAAATTCAACTGCAGGCAGCTTTTTACGTGGCTTTTGGAAAAGGATGCCTTTAGCAATGGCAGAGCAATGGTGGCAGAGAGCAGTTGCTTTTAGAAAGGCATGGAGATGCTTCTTTCATGTTTCTGATGTAATCTCAATCTCTTTCAGCATATCCCCAGAAATGATATTAAAAGAGGAGATCCCTCAATATGATAAGGAACAGGTTAAACATGTGAAGGGAGTTTTAAGGGACTCAATTGAAATGCTTGAGCAGGTAGGTGTGCCAGTCGTTCCTGGTGATATTCTTGTTTCTCAACAACTCAAGTTTTCTCCCTTATGCCATCATAGCTTTTGTTAGATGTCTTCTGGTGTTAACTAAAGTTTTTGACTCCTTGACCTGTTTTTTTTGTCCTAGGCTTGAATCTGATGTTTTGGGTTGGTTTGGTTTTGACTAAGATTTGGGTGGGGTTTTTTGACTATGATTAAATATTCATGTCAATTTTCTTAAACCTGTTAAGCACCTGTTTTGATAATGCTGTTCTGAATCATGACAAAGCAAAGACTGGAGTAATTCAAAACAGATCCTCTTTTCTAAGAAGATGCAAAACATAATGTGAAGTATTTGCCCACCTCATTATGGGGTTTCTTCATTCAGCTTTATCCTGGCTTTTGCTCCCCACTCTAGATACTGGTGAGAGCTTCACTTAGCCTTGGTATCAATGGGCCACCCAATCTCCAGTGAAAAATAAGTTCTGCAGAACTTAGGTTTCTGAGAGGCCCCATAGCTGTGGAGTTAATCCTCCTTCTCAGTAACTTACACTTCCAGGCCCTTACAAACTGCAAACACTATCTAAAAAAATGTTGTTGAATATTGTTCTGTGTGTCTGATCCTGAAGTCCACGACTAGTAAACCCCTGGGTTGAAATTTCAGCTTATTTTTTTGGTTATAACCTATGAATGCACTGATTTTAAGTTCTTTTTATTAAATCTTAAAATGTGACAGAAGAAATTATTAGATTAGGAAAGATGTGGGGGAGTTCACATGTACCTCTATCCATCACCAGTTTGCTCTGTGTTCTCCCACACACTAAAGGAGGGTAGAAAAAGAAGCCATTTTTATACTCCTTGTTCAGAGGTTTCTCTGCACACCAAATTGCTATTAATTTATTAACCATTTTGATCACAGCTTGAAAAAGCTTCAGAGTGCTAGAAGTTTCACTGTAGAAATGAATTTCCTGGTTTCCACGCCCTTTTCATTTTCTCTGCTTGCTTCCCAAACAACTCCTAATTCTGAAGTGTTAAACTGCTTTTTGAACAGTGTGAAAAAAAAAAAACTTTTTTTTTAAAAAAAAGTGAGAATTCAGCCACCTTTTTCATCCCAAATAGCACTTTTGTCTGGAAGTCATGACACTTCTTAGTGCCTGTTACCTTAGTGTTTTCTGAGGATTGTCAATAATCTAAACACACTTTGTGCACCAAAATGCACTGAGAGGGCTAGGTATTAAAAGAAAATTCATGCTTTGCTGCCATGTTCCTTAGAGTATTTGCCATGACCATTAACTGTGACTAAAAATGAGTGGGGTGGCTTATCTTCCGCCCTGTTGCCTGGCAAGGTGTTAAGACTTTATCATACTGGAGCGTTAGTAATTATAAACTGTACAGAGTATAGCTGTTAGAGCACAGTAACGCAACTCTTTCTAGAAAGAGGGAGGAGGAAATTGCATGAAATCTTTACAAGAAGAGGAGGAGAGAGACATTGTTTTCCTGATATCACTCACCCATGTAGGAGACTAACTTAAGTAATTGAGGGGGTATGATGGTTGTATGTTCACAGCTAAAGGTCTCCCTTTCCATGCTCCAAAGAAGCTTTGACCACTTGAACAGGACACAGAGCGGCAAGACGGAGAGTTAATACCCACATCAACTTTCTGTTCAAGACATCGGAAGAACAGATGTGTGTGTGAGGACTTGTGGGGTAGGGATTGTAACTGTCACCTTCGGACTCTGCTATTTGGCTCAAAAGCTGCACGGAATAAAGGTTTCTGGAAGAGGTAAATTGGGTTCTGCATTCCCGTAGCCTGGCGATCTGTCTCTCGTCCTGGGGAGTCTTGCTTACCAACAGAGCGGAGCTCTCAGATCCCATGGTGAGTGAGAAAGGGCAGTTGTACAGCTGGTTAATGGATCTGCAAATTTTGGAAGAGGGAAGAACACCTTGAGGTGGGCTCATCTTTAATGAAATCACAGCTTTTTATGTCAACTTAAAAAATGACTATCAGTGAAGAGCACTTTGGAGAAAACAGGTAGTGGTTTCACAGCCACAGGATCTTTATATGATTTTTTTAGCCATGGGGAACATGTAAAACAAGTTACCATCTTAAAAATATTCATCCTTAAAGATTAATTAACTAAACAGCAAAATGCTTGATACCTCTCTGCTAAATCTCTTGCATTCTGTGAGCTTTGGCAGTCTGCCTTCTGCCATATGTTTCTAGCTCTCCCAGAGAAATTTCAGCCCTCAGTATTTTCCCTTGATCAAGGGCTACTCTTCAGTTCTTTAGCTGATGATGAAACACCTTTTCTTCTGGCTTCAAGCTTTTTCTAAGCAGCTTGAGAGAGAGAAGATGAAAATAAAAATTAAAAGCAAGGGAAACAGCACTGTCCCTATAGGCTCAGACTGGTGCGATGCAGTGGTGCACACGGCTGAGCTCCTTACCCTGCAGCCCAGAGTGGGTTAGGGGGGTGTGTGTGGAGGTGCTTGAGCCCCAAAACTCGGGGTCCTGGGGTGAAACCCTCCGCGGGGGAGCTTTAAACAGGTGGGCGGCTGTGCTGGGTGGGAAACTTTCCCA